CAGCTACCTGAGTATAGTTTTAAATGAACCATCTATAAAATTTTGCTATTCCCAAAACCCATTGGAGATGCTTCTGGAATCTGCAATGGGTACAAGGGGTAGGCCACTCTGTGAAAGCTTTCACTTTTGCAAGATCCGTCTTCACCTGCCCCCGTGCCAAAATGTAACAGAAAAAAGTTATTGATGAGGAATGGAATTGACACTTTTCTGCTTTGACATAAGGTTTTTTCTCCAGCAAACGTTGGAAAAGTAGCATGGACATGGGACTGATGTTCCTGGCAGGTTTTGGGAAAAATGAGGATATCATCCAGATACACCAATAGAAACCTGTCAACTAAGTCCCGGAGGACATCGTTAACTAATCTTGAAACATTGCGGGAGCATTAGTTAACCCAGGCGGCATGACCAAATACTTGTAGTCCCCCAATGGCTTGTTTAAAACGGTCTTCCACTTATCTCCCTGATTGCTCTGGAAAAAGTGGTAAGCGTTGCGGAGGTGGGGTTTTGTAAACCCTGTGGCGCTGTGAAATGGCCTGTAAGCAGAGCTAATGAGGTAATAGGTACTTATTCTTGATGGTAATATCACTGAGGCCCCTGAAGTAAATGCATGGCCAGAGAGAGCCATCCTTTTTCCCCCACAAAAAAGAAGTTCCAACTTGAGATGACAATCGTTTGATTATGCCTGCAGCGAGGGATTCCTTAATCTACTTTTCCATAGCTGCACACTCAGGTTTAGACACGCTATACAGCCAGCTAGAAGACCGGGTGGAGCCAGAGAGTAGTTCTATGGTGCAGTCATGTGGTCTGTGAGGTGGCAGTGAAAGCGCTTTACTTTTTCTAAATACTTCCTGAAGATCATGACATTTGGTGGGCATAGAGGAGAGATCTAAAACAGTCTCAGTGTTGGCTGATGGTTCCACAGGTTCCGGTGGACAGGTGGAAACAAGGGCAATTTGAATGACAGAACAGACTCTAACTGATTACCCTCTGACCTGACCAGTCTAAGTGTGGATTATGTAATTCTAGCCAAGGAAAGCCGAGTATGAGTGGTTTGTGAGGTGAGGTGTTTTCTTGTGATTACCAGGGGTGACAGGCTCTGTGCGCTGAGTTATGTGAGGGGACA